ACAATGCTCCTGTTCCGCCTCCGCATCAACCGACAGACGTGTCTCATATTTTGCAGCAGTCCACCAAAATACTCATTGGCGAATTATCCGAGGTTTTTCAAAAGGATATAAAGAATAAGATTGTCGGCAAATTCATCTTTGATCATTTCACATCAAAGATCCAAGAGCGAAAACAGCAGCGACTGGTAAAATTAAAATCCAAGGACGAGGAGAAAAAGCAACAACCGGAAATAGGTACTAGAGAATTATCTGAACTTGGACCTTTCAAATCAAAATATACAATGTTGCATTCTGCAAAGCTGCCCTCGAAATCGAATGGGAATGGATTGCGAGATTATAATTTGAAATTCCAAAAGAGTGATAGTGATTTCCGAGATCGAAGGTCTAGTTATAAAAAAGACCAAAAGCAGTCTTCATCTAAACCTACCGTTAGTAGCATAAATAGCAATAAAAGATCGTATCCGAGCTCTAAATACGACAACAGCCGGTCTAACAAAAAGATTAAGTGCAGAAAATCCCCTCTACCAAAACGACCAGCTTTTGAATTCACAGATTCTGAGAGTGAAGACGAACAAGAAGAAAAGATTGAAGATCAAGCTACTTGTTCCAATAAGCAAGAAGCGTCATCTAGCTCTGAAGATGGAGAGATACACACAGATGATGAACTATTTCCAGAAAATCAAAAATCTCCACCCCCTAAACAAGAGTTACTTGAAAAACCTAAACATGCACCTCTTAAAGTCGAAAAACCACGTCATCAACAACAAAGACTACGTGATTATTTAAGCGAGGATGATGACTCGGATCCTAACAATTTTCTAGAAGAGTTCAATAAACATGAATCTCAACGAGAACAAGAGAATCATTCTCCTGCAAATGAAGATTTAATGGATGTCGACAAAAATGAATTTTTAACTGATGATATCATCAATAAAGTAGATCGTCTGCCGAAGAGGAAAAAGAGACGTTTATCGAATCAGTCTTCAAAGAAAATAAAGCGGCTTACCAAAAGTATTGATTTCACCAGCAGCGAGAGTGAGGAGGAACTTGAATTAAAACACAAGAATGACACTGCTGCTAAGTCTACAAAATGTGAAAAAAAGAGTTAAAGAAATAATAATACAAAAGCAAAATATATTACAAGAGGTTTTTATTATATTAGTGAAGAAAAAATAGAAAAATTTTCTAAATATTATACTATTTAATAATATTCATAATATGTAAAATTATATTTAAAAATGCATTATTATAGAAGAAAATCATATAATATTTTAATTATTTATAATAAAAATAATTTTTTTTAAAATTAATAATTTTTATTTTATTTTTAATAAAAATCAACTATTATCAGAATTATTTATATCTATCAATTTTTATTTTTATTTAATAAATAATTATAAGTAAAGTTATTATTACTAAGAAAAGAATAGAAAAGATTAAGTAATATCTGATTTAAAATTTTCAAATTATTATTATTTATTTTTTATAAATATTAACTATTCTATTAATATTTATTTCATAAATAAATAAATATAAATATATATATATATATTATACTAATAACTAGTATTAAAAAATAATTTCAATAAATATTTAAAAAATATAAGTTCAAATTTAAATATTATAAGTTAAAAGAAATAATAACTTTCAAAAAAAATTAAAAGAATTATTAATAATTAAAAGCAAAATTATAAATGCATTAATAAAAAGAATATATAAGATATATTATTAAATTAAAAAAAGAAATAATAATAAATAATTATATCTATTGAAAAGTTAAAAGTTAACTTGAAATTTTTATTAAATTAATATTATAGATATATTAAGAATTTTTTATTATATTAAGTTTTTTATTTATTATATTTTAATTAAATTTAATAATAATTTTATTTTATATAAAATAAAATAATTCAATAAATAATTTTTTCTTATATTAATTAAAAATTATAATTTAAATTAAAATATTTAGCTTATTAATTATTTTTTTTATTAATAAATATTAATTTAAAATTTTTTCTGATAGAAAATTAAAAAAGAATTATTAAAGTAAATTTGTTTATTTATATAAAAATATTCTATTTATTACTTTCTAAAGTTATTTTAATTATAATTCTTATTTAATTCATAATTTTTACTAAAATTTTTTTTAATAATATACTTTTAATAAAATAAAACAAAAATATCTTATAAGTTATTATTAATTAAATATAGATATTATTATATATATTGAATTTTGATCCAATATATAAAAATTATATAATATTATCAATTTTGATTTTATATAAAATTTATATTATTATATTATATTATATTATATTATATAAATAAATATATTAATTCTAATTTATTAAAATTTAATTTCATATCTATTAATAAAAAACTAATAAAAACAATAAATATAAAATTCAAAGAATAATTATATGAGAACTATAAAATAATAATATTTAGAAATCTGTTATAATTATATATTTAATAGATTATTTAAAAATTTATAATAAATAATTTAATTAATTAACTTAAGAAAAGATTTAAATATTATATCACTTTTTAAATTTAAATAATTTCTTATTCTTATATATAAATATTAATATTATTTTAATTTAATAGTACAAATTAATAAAATAATTATTATAACTGAATTATTAAAAAACTTATTTAAAAAATACTCTTATCTGAAAGTATTTATTTATATTATTTAATATATATTAGAAAAAAATTTCTAATTTAAAGTTTATTATTTGCTTTTAGCTTTTCTTCTATAGTTTTATTATATTATAACTCATTTAAAATAAGTTTAAAAATATCTTTATTATAATTAATCTAATATTATTTTTTTTAATAAAATAACTTTTTAAATATTTCAGAATACTTAAATAGTTAAATACTATTATGAAGAGCTATAATTATACTAAAATATAACAAAGTACACTTATAAACTTTATATATAAAATATTTTTATCATATAAGAATTAATTATATTGTTTTATTTATAAATATTCTTAATATTATTAAAATTTTAAAACTTATCTTTTCTCTTTTATTCTATAGCTTTATTTTTAACAAGATAACTCTCTAATTTATAAAATATATAAAGTATATAATTTTTTTAAAAGATATAATATTCAAATTTTTAATTAAAGATAGCTCCTCAACTATTACAATGTGATAATAAATAAAGTATTACCTAGTTGCAACTAGTTATGACTTATAAAATTTTGGAGTTGCAATATATTGTAACAGGTGATAAATAAGCATCATATACTTGCTGTATTATCTTTATTCTTAATTGATCTTATTTATCAAATATAAATTCTATTAAGAATCTGTAAATAATACTTAAGAGAAAGATAAAAAAAAGATAAACTTATAATTAGCAAAAAAATTCTTGAAAATAATAATTTTCAAGTAATAATTTATTAAAAATAAAAGGATTTAAGTAAAAAACTCTTTTTAAATTAGTAAATAGTATGAAAAATCAAATTTTAAGAATGATAAATTATGATAAAAAAACTAATTATTAAAATTTTTTATAGTTAATAGTGATTTTTATAAATCTAATATGAAATTTAAATAAATAAAAATAATAAAAATAAAATTTTTCACTTATTATTATAAATTTTAGATATATATAATAATATCTGTAATTATAATTAAATTAAGTTCAAATATTCAAGTTAAGAAATTATAAATAGCCCAGTCAAAAAGCTATATTTTGACTAAAAAATTTTTTGTCTCACCTTTTATATTAATTTACATGGCATTACTAAAGTAAATGATTTATGCTATTTCCATTATATATATTAAGTTGAAATTATTCTTAATTGAAGATAACTTAACTCTTAATAGAATATATAATTTATAATTTATTTTTTCTAATGACTCAGAAATCTCTTGTACAGGTAGTTCTGGAGAAGATCTAACTGTTAGGCTTCAAATAAGACTGAAAGATTGATATTTAACCCTCTATAGATTTTACTATATAATTGAGTTGAAATCATTCTTAATTGAAGATAACTTGATTCTTAGTAAATATATGATTTATAATTTATTTTTCTTATAATACTTGAAAATTTGATTCAAATTAATATACTTGAAAATTTATATGAATAAGCTTTTTTAAAGTGGAGATTTGATTTCTTCTGGATGATTCTTCTTATTTTTTCTTTTCATTAGAGTTCCTATATAGCTAGTATCTTCTGAGATGAAGGTTTAATTCCTTTCAGATTCAATTTATTTATTAGTTATATTAATCAGTATGTTTGAAATTATAAATTTTTTGGTTTTGTTATTTTCATAACTACCAGGAGTTACAGAAGAAAGCTCATGGAATTTTATATTTTCAAAACCATCATAATTGCCATGTGATAAATTTTATATCAAGACTTATGAGATCTCAAGTGTAAAATCAATTGAGAATTCAGTCTAATTGTGAAGATAATTTGAGTTTGCATTATTTCTAATAAGATATTTATAAATTCATATATTTAAAAAAAATTTATTTGGCTTGAGACAAGCTTGAAAATAATTTAGAAAATATTTAATAAATAAAAATAATGGAAAAGTAATTAAAACATTAGACAAGAAAAATATATTATGTAAAAAGTTTGTTCTCTTATGTTATCTTCAAAAGAAAATAATAATTATATAAGGATGATAATAGTAAAGATAATGAGTATGAATTAGTATTTATGATTATGATAAAAATTTGTTTAACTATAGATTAAGCTTTATTGACAATGATAAAGATAATAAAAGGTAATGATGATTCTAATTTAAATAATAATTTAAAGAATTTTCTTCATAAATAAACAACAAGAAAATCTAAAATATTTTTGATACATTATTTAACAATATTAGTAATATTAATAATATAAATGCAACTCAATTTCTTCGAGTATATTTTTACAAGACTAATTTTTTTAACATAAAATTTATGGAAAAAATTTAAATATTACTACTTATCATGCTAATATTAAAAATATTATCACATAACATATACCTTTTATTGAATATTATCAGAACTGGAAAATCTATTAAAAAGACATGTTAATAAATTAATCTCAGTATAATAGATAAGATGATAAATGATTTTTTTTATAAATTTTTTGAATTAAGTTATTTTTAAATCTAAATTAATTTAAATTTCAAAAATATTCAGAAGAAAAAATTAATAATTTAATCAAAAAATTTGTTCTCAGTAAATATTCACACATTTTGTAACTACTTTCTATAAATTCATATTTATTAAAATTCTAGAATTAAGTAATACATCAAGATAATAAATATATTAAAAGAATTATTAAGAAAATAATTTATGTAGAATCATTATTTGCCATTATTATTATTACTAATAGAACAGAAGCTAAAGTCATATCAATAATTAAAAGTATATTAATTCAATTATAATAATTTGTCTAATATATCTATTGATTATAATTTATTGCAAATATTCAATATATAAGTACTTGTTTATTAATTCTTTTCAAAAAAGATCACAAAACTAAAGGTTTGTAATAATCTATTTTCATATTAAATAACTTTTTATGCATAATTATCAAAAGAGTAAATATTTCTATAAAAGTTTTTAAATAATAAAAAATTTATAACAAAATAAAATTAATATTTGCACATATCTTATAATAAGTATAAGATAAACTTGAAGTAATACAAAAAACTCTCAAGCAAACTAAGAATCAAATGAAATTTTTTTGCAATATAAGTAATCAATTGTGATCATCAATTTTTATAATATATAAAGTAGTTATAATAGTTTTTGATTTTTAATCTGTTCATTTATTTCCAAAATTTTCTTAATATATATTTTTTACTTATGCACTTAAAAATAATCTATAAGCTATTATTGAACTAATTTTTTGATATTTCATTTTGAATATTAGATTTAATAAATTATATTAACTTCTTAGAATCTTTTTATATATTATAGTAATTAGTATTTGATTTTTTATTTATTATGTTTTTATAATTGTAATTTTAAATAACAAATTACAACTCATTAATATAAATTTTTGATTATAAAATATATTAATCAATAAGAAATTTTTTTGATTATTGCAATATATAAATATAGTAATCTGTTATTTTCTTTCAATTCTAATTAGAAAAATATTTTTAGTTTTAATTTATTTAATAAGCAAGCTTTTTTCTTTAAAATATAAAATTTACAAAATTGAAATTAACTTTAAAAAATGATTGCAAGAATTAATTTTTACTATCTTGCTAAAAAAATAGAGCTAAAGAACTCAGAGATTCATCAAAATGGTATTTATATTATTGGTATAGTGGTAATTAGTGCTTTAACTTTTGGATTAATTTGTCTATATAGATATTTTTTTAAAAGAAGAGATGAAATTAAATATAAGAAAGATAAAAGAGATGAAGTTTTTATACAGAAAAATAAAGATCTCAATTCAAACACAAAATCTAAGATTTTAGATATAAGAACTATTGCTACTCTAAATAAATCTTTTCAGAAAAAAGAAAATATCATTCTTAATAAAATAATTAAAGATGTAGCTCTCAATATCCAACACTTTAAAGATATCAGCAACTATAACAAGAA